TTTACAGTTAATTATTTTTAAAGCACAGCGGAAGCAACTTTTTTAAAAAGTGACAGCAATCCCAAACTAGGCCTTAGAGGTTTCTCGTGTTATTCTTTGCAATTGTATTTGTATTTGTTGAGAGACTTTCTATTATGCAAATATTGAATTTGTTGCTTCATTTGCTCCCGCTATGTACAAACTCAAAATCTAACCATTCTCAATTTTGGTACAAACTTAATAGGGAGTCTGAAGCTTTATTTTATGCTATACACTCCACTGTAGCTAAAGAGCTCAAATAAGATATGAACGTTGTACACAATCTTTTATAACGAAAATTAATAGTTATTCAATCTAGCTTACACGAAAATCAATATAGCTTACACATGAGGCTCTTGTACATAATGATCAGTTGAAGTTTATAAACCTCTTTTGTTTCATACCTTGGTCATTCTACAATCTGCAAAGATAAATTTGACCTAAAAATATAATGAAATTGATTCCTCCCTCAAAAGGAAACAATAGGATAATAGACCTAACTGAAATTTCACTTAAGTAGACTAATGAATTTTGCATCTTTTTGGCGGAACAACAATCAGTATTACATTAATATTTTAATTAGAAAATTTGAGATAAGTCTAAAATAATTGAGAACATAAGTTGGGTTTAATCCTTACATTTGTTGTCGTTGATACAAGTCCTTTAACTTTTTGCCAAATAAGATTACATTCCTTTTTTGTATTTTCTGATGTAGATCTATTATTATTATTATTATTAAATTATCTACTTGTTCTTATTATACTTATAACACCCCGACTCCAAATTAAATCCCATATTTAAATAATTGGAGTGAAATTACGAATTTACTCGTGGGATGGGGGTATTTTAGTCATTTTCTTATTCAGAAGGAATTTGGGAATTCCGGCTGTACCATTACGTAGAGCGCGGCGACATGAGTCCGTAGACGGGTAGTGGGCTCGAATCAGAGCTATAACGAGAGAGATACGATCCAAATACCCTCAGTCACACAACCGTAAATATTTCAAAAAGGGTTTTTGTTAAAAGTCAGAAATAACCTTCAGCTCTCTCTCTCCCCTCCCGCACGTCTCTCTCTCTCTCTCTCTCTCTCTCTCTCTCTCTCTTTCTCTCTCTTCGATTCACGGCTGTCCGGCCACCGCAGGACATGAGACCGGTCACATTCGAACCGGCTTGACGTCCTGGTCACGTCGCACCCAAAGTCCTAGCCGGAAACCTCGAATTCCGGCCACGGTTTCGACTGGTTTGAACCGGGTTTTTCCTGGCGTTGCGCCGCCGCCTCCGCTGCCCAATATCGGTGAAACAAGTATGGTTCCTCACCTATTTTGTGAGCTCTAGCTGCCTGTTGGATATGATTGGATCAATTCTTAACGTAGATAACTCGATTTAGAATCTAGGTTTTGGCCAGATTTCAGGGTGAAATTCCGGCCACTTGCCGTCCGAATTGGACATTGCCGCAGTTGAATAAGTTGCTCCACTCGTTGAATAGTAGCTGTATCCGGAAGGGTGGCTCTTGATTTTGAAGTTTTCCGGTAATCAGTATCGCTTTGGACACCCCACGCGCTGCCGACGCGTGTGGCGGCGGGTGGAACTGTAGCTCAGGGGCATTATTGTCCCACTGGGATCCCCTTGATGTCACGAGCGCGTAAGTGTGCTTGGATTTCAATTTGGATATCGTTAGAGTCCCGTACGGATATCGCATATTGCGTATTATTCGGGTTTGCTAGGTTTGGACCGTTGGATGGTCCTGAATTTATTCTATGTAAATCTAGACATCGTTAGAATCATGTAGGATTTGACGGATCATAAAACGGAGTCCCGGATACTCCGAAAATGCCAACCCTAGGGTTAGGTTTATAGTAACCGTCCGATCGTGCGATCGTTTGCGATTCGACCATCCGATCTGGACCAAACTTGCAGGACGTGCATCGTAGACCTTGTAGAACCTATAGGAACTTTCGGATCAGAATTTGGAGGTCGTGGGCCCCACAGGCCGGTATGACCAAGGGTGGGTAGTTTGACCCCAGGTTGACTGTGAAACTTCCTAGGTAGTGTTACCTTCCCAGGAAGATTAAAATGACCGTAGTGACAGGTCTTGATGTTATGTGGGTTATGGGGGATTATCGAATGCTAGATGGTTGTTAAGGTGTTTACAATATTAGAAATAAATGTATATAATTAGGTGTGTATAGAAATGTATAAAAAGAGTTTAGAATGTCAGTTTGAAGTGCTATACACACTATCCTATGTACCTCCTTGGATAGAGATGATACTGTGTAAGTCCCACCTTGTGCTTGTGAGATCGCATGCGGCATAGGATTTTCCGGCATGTTGACAAGCCCCATATGCGGTGTTGGATTTATCCGGCGTATGGGGAGGTTCTACAAGATGGGATAATTGTGAGGTCACACGTGTCGTAGAAGTAGCCGGCGTGTTGACAGGCCCCATATGCGGCGTTGGTCGTCGTACCGGCATATGGGGGATATTGATATTGTGTTGAGGTCGCATGTGTCGTAGGAGTAGCTGGCGTGTTGACAGACCCCATATGCGGCGTTGGTCGTTGTACCGGCATATGGGGATATTGATATTTTGTTGAGGCCGCACGTGTCGTAGGAGTAGTCGGCGTGTTGACAGACCCTATATGCGGCGTTGGTCGTCGTACCGACATATGGAGGATATTGATATTGTGTTGAGGTAGCACGTGTCGTAGGAGTAGCCGGCGTGTTGGCAGACCCCATATGCGGCGTTGATAGTAGTATCGGCATATGGGGAGTTATTGTGAAATGATGATGAGGTCCCACGTGTCGTAGGATTAGCCGGCGTGCGGACAGGCCCCATACGTGACTTTGGATGTTCCGGTGTATGGGGAGATTTGGTGAGTATTTGGGAGATAAATATAAGATTGTGATTGTTGAAATATGATTTAGAGAAAAAAGGTTTTAGAGATAGAACTACGTGTGGCTTGATCCCTCAGTAAGGGTACGTAGGCAGCCTAGGATAGCGCCTAGGTGTAGCCGCCGGTTAAACTTTACTTTTGTGTGTTTTGAGTGTGGTGCGGACCTTGTCATTGGTCCTGAGATTCAGGTGAGGTCGAGAGGTGTTCGTGTTAGGAGGTTGAATCCTCATATGTAGAGATTGGGAAAGTTAGAGGTTGTAAATGATGTGTTCATAAATTCACATGATTTTATATCCTTTTTACTTAGTTTTGTGAATTAATTTGGACTAAAGATGCTGAGTTGAGTTATTTCCTGTTTTTCAGCTTATGAGCCACGGAATGAATAAATTCGTCAAATATTCATCATAATAGAGTTCGACATGATTCCAATTGGAGATGGGAGACAGCATCTTGAAGTTTATCCATGAATATTTTCATAATTTTTGAAGGCTGCTAAGGTGCCCATTTTTAATTAGACAATTCAGCATAAATCAATTCCCGGAGAATACTGAGTCAGCAGGGGTATTTTGGCTACAACTCACTCATACAACATCGGATTGAGGCACATGATATATGGCTGAAAAGAAGACATCCAGAGCTTTCCAAAGAGTGGTCATACGTAATTTTTGGAGGTCAGAAACGTGTCCAAATCGCATTCGCAATGAGGATCACGTGCAGTTTCCTGGAGGTTTTAGGAAACTTAGTTTTAATTAGCTTTTCTAGTTAGGAACTGACTTGGAAATCAAGTCTTCGTGTAAGGCCACTTGTTTAGGCCCATTCTAACTAGGTTTTAGGTTCTTTTAAGAGGGGAGGTCGTAGAGGCTCAAGGGACCAGAAATTTCAGACTTCAACCGTGGAGCAAGGAAGAGCCACCGTGCCTCTAAACTCTAAGGGTTTTCCTTATCTCTTTCTCCATGTTTTATTTTTGCTTTGTTACCATGATTATGAGTAACTAATTTTCTTTTACTAAGACACAATGTAACCCTTTTCTAATTATTCAAAGCTTAGTTATGTCATGCTATTAGAATTTCCATGTTGTTGAAATTTAATCACTGTGCTTATTTTCCTAACTAATGATCTTGATGCTTAGCTACCATCTAGGTTTTTGGTTAAGTAATTTGATGCATGTTAGGGTATACGCCATGCCTAATATGAGTTTTGCTTTTTATGATTAAATTCATGAATGCGCCTAAGGTAAACACTATACTCTTAGGGGTTTGTGTGATTGTGTGAAGTTCTCATTGAACCTAAGGTCTTTTTATATGTTTATATTTATGCCTCACGCCAAGGATAAATTGCATGTAAGAAGAAGTGGTTAATTGCTGTGAAAAGAATTAGTCATAATTTTGGAGAACTAATCATCAACATAACTTGGGAATTTTGATAGTATGCATGCTAAGGTTTGGATAAGAGGAATTGTGGTGAAATTGTTGTCTTGGTAAGCTTCTTTAAAATCTTTCACAAACTTATTTAGTTCACGTTTTTCTTCGTTATCTTGTCTTTTAATTTTCTTGTTTTCAACGTTCTTTCAAAGAAAATCTTTCAAAACCAACTTTCAAAAATCCTCTATTAAGTTTTAGTTGAGTCATTAGTTTTAAGTTTATTAATTAGGGTGTCTAGAGTAATTTAGGATTTAAATTAGTTTATAATTCACAACAACTTGAGAATTTATTCAGTCTCTGTGGGAACGACCTTGTACTTGCCTTGGCTATATTGCATTAACCTTGTGCGCTTGCAAGTTTATTTCTTGAATTTAACTATCTAATTTTCAGGTAGTAAAATTATACATCAAGTTTTTGGCGCCGCTGCCGGGGACTAAGTTTAATTCTTTGTGTTGTGTGATTTTAGCTTTACTTTAGTCTTTATTTCGGTTGCATATCGTCCCTTTTTAATATTTGTTTTATTGTTTTACTTTATTGTATTTCTTTGATTTATTCTCTTTTATTATTTGTTTCTTTGTTTTCCAGCACCACCTGTTATTCACTATCTCTTTTGTTTTGTTGTCTGTAGGTTGCTCTCAAATATTTGCATGTTGTGTGTGTGTTAGTTGATGGTCAGCACAAGATTCCAAGGTCAAGAATTAGTACCCTTTGATCCTGAGATAGAAAAAACGTTCCGAGAGCTCTGTCACATCAACCAACAAGCATTTGATACTGATTTAGAGTCTGACACAGAGTCAATGGCAGCCAACACTAAGCCCTTGAAGGAGTATTCACAGCCCACAATTTTAGAAGAGCCTTCATGTATCACATTTCCTGAAATTGATGATGTTTCGTTTGAGCTGAAATCCGGTACCATTGGTCTTCTTCCTTCGTTCTATGGTAAATCAAATGAAGATCCCAACATTCATATTAAGGATTTTTACATAGCTTGTGGTACGGTTCATATCAAGGGAGTTTCACAAGAAATAGTGCGTCTGAGATTGTTCCCCTTCACTCTCAAAGACAAGGCCAAGTCATGGTTCACCTCTCTTCCTGCTGGATCCATCACGTCATGGGAAGAACTTGCTCAAAAATTCATGCTGAAATTTTTCCCTGCCACAAAAACATTGCTACTTAGGAAGGAAATCACGAACTTTGAACAAAAGCCTCAAGAATCTTTTCATGAGTGCTGGGAGCGATTTTGTGATCTACTACAACAATGTCCTCATCATGGAGTGGAAACTTGGATGCAAATGCAGATCTTTTACCAAGGACTAACCTCAGCCAGTAGAAACAATGTTGATGCGGCGTGTGGAGGAGCTCTGAGTGAGAAAGATCCTAAGGAGTGCTTCAAAACTTTTGAGAGAGTTGCTGCCAATTCTATGCAATGGGGCGATGACAGATTCACAAGGAAGATTACTGTGCATAGTGTCGATACAAATCCTGGATTCGCTTCAGCATCTCAAGTATCCAACTTGGAAAAGAAGCTTGAAAATTTCATGCAGTCAATGACCAAATTTGTTTCTCCTTCCTCTGTGTGTGCTATTTGCTCTGATAATTCTCATCCAACTAATAATTGCCCTTTGAGTGATCTTACGCAGGAGCAGGCTAATCAAATAAATTCATTTCAAAAGCCACGACATGATCCCTACTCCAACACGTATAACCCGGGATGGAAGAACCACCCCAATTTCTCATGGAGCAACAACAATCCGTCTGAGCAGCGCATTTATCCTCAGCAAAAACCTGTCAATCCGAATGAACCAAGAGAACCAACTTTGAAGGAGATTATGACTCAATTTATTCAGACTCAACAACAAACAAACAATAACCTTCAAGCTGGTTATCAAAATTGTCATGCTGCAATTCAGAAATTGGAAGTCCAAGTGAGCCAGATTGCAAACATAGTCAATGAGAGGGAGAAAGGCAAGTTACCTAGCCAACCTGAAATCAATCCAAGAGGCCAGGAGCACATTAAGGCGATAAAAACATTAAGGAGTGGGCGAACTTATGAGGCTAGACCTGAAGATGTTTCTAAGGCTGAAACAGAGGGAAAACAAGCTGCTGAAATGGAGTTAGACGTGGAAGACATGAATACACTTCAGCCACACCCTGTCCCTGCCACAACGGATGTTACAGAGGCCCCAACAGCAGCTATTGAGCCTACCAAAGAACCTACAGCAGCTGCCCCTTCCAAGGAGAGAATATATATGCCTCAAGTTCCTTTTCCGCAAAGACTACAGAAGCACAAGAGAGATCAACAAACAATGGATATTCTGGAATTGTTTAGAAATGTTCAAATAAATATTCCATTGTTGGATGCAGTGAAGCAAATCCCAGCTTATGCTAAGTTCCTCAAGGATGTTTGCACAAACAAGCGAAAGTTTGCTACACATGAGAAAGTGATGTTGTCCGAGGAATGCAGTGCAGTTCTCCTTAAGAAATTGCCACCAAAACTTAAGGATCCAGGGAGTTTTACAATTTCTTGCATTATTGGAAATTTACATATTGAAAAGGCTTTAATTGATTTGGGTGCAAGTATTAACTTAATGCCTTATTCTGTATTTCAGCAGCTAGGCATTGGAGAGATCAAACCAACTTCTGTGAGCTTGCAACTGGCTGATAGGTCTATCAAATATCCACTTGGAATCGTTGAAGATATACTAATCAAAGTGGATCAATTTGTTCTTCCAGCAGATTTTATCATCCTTGACATGGAGGAAGACAGAGAAGTTCCCATCATTATGGGACGTCCTTTTATGGCTACTGCTGGCACCATTATTGATGTGAAGAAAGGTTTATTGTCTATGACTGTGCAAGGCCAAACTGTTGAGTTCAAGGTGTTTGAAGCCATTAAGAAACCTGTGGAGATGGATGAGTGTTTTTGTGTAGATGTCGTTGATACTATTGCCCACACCACTTTCCTAGCTAATGTAAACGAGGATGAACTTCTCACATGCCTAGCTAACCCGGAGCTAAGATCAGATTCTAATGAGGCCCAACACCTTGTAGCAGCTTTGGATTCGACACCTATTCAGTTCCCAAGGTGGCGTCACACATATGAGCCACTAGGGACACCTAGCGCTCCTATCTTGCCTTCCGTTGAGATACCTCCAAAGCTGGAGCTCAAGCCATTGCCTGAACACTTGAAATATGCCTTTCTGGGAGAATCCGATACACTTCCTGTGATCATTGCTTCTGATTTGACTGTTACCGAGGAAGAAAAGCTTTTGCGGGTTTTGAGAGAGTACAAAACAGCTTTAGGATGGACCATAGCTGACATTAAAGGCATTAGTCCATCCATGTGCATGCATCGAATTTTACTAGAGGATGGTTCTAAGGCTACCATTGATGCGCAAAGAAGATTGAATCCTAACATGAAGGAGGTAGTCCGAGGTGAAGTTTTAAAACTTCTTGATGTAGGTGTGATCTATCCCATCTCTGACAGCAAGTGGGTTAGTCCAGTTCAAGTCGTCCCCAAGAAGTCTGGAATCACAGTGGTTCAGAATGAAAACAATGAACTCGTGCCTACAAGAATGACCACAGGATGGAGAGTCTGTATAGACTACAGGAAGTTGAATTCATCTACTAGAAAAGATCATTTTCCCTTGCCTTTTATTGATCAAATGTTAGAAAGATTAGCTGGTCACTCACATTACTGTTTTCTTGATGGCTATTCAGGTTATAATCAGATTCCCATTGCCCCTGAGGATCAAGAGAAGACGACATTTACCTGCCCCTTTGGGACGTTTGCTTATAGGAGGATGCCTTTTGGCTTGTGCAACGCACCTGCGACCTTTCAACGATGCATGATGAGTATATTCTCTGATATGGTTGAGAGAATAATTGAGGTTTTTATGGATGATTTTTCTGTTTTTGGAGATTCATTTGATACTTGTCTGTTTAACCTCAAACTTGTGTTGGAAAGGTGCACGGACACTAACCTTGTTTTAAATTGGGAGAAATGTCATTTTATGGTACAACAGGGTATTGTGCTAGGCCATTCAGTCTCTAGTAAAGGCATTTCTGTTGATAAAGCAAAGATAGACATCATTGCTAAATTGCCGCCACCAACCTCAGTGAAGGGTGTGAGATCTTTTCTTGGCCATGCCGGGTTCTACAGGCGTTTCATCAAGGACTTCTCCAAAATCAGTCGTCCCTTGTGCAACCTGCTCGCCAAAGACGCCATTTTTGAGTTTGATGATTCATGTTTACTTGCTTTTAACAATTTAAAAAAGCTTCTTACTTCTGCTCCTATTATCACAGCTCCAGATTGGAGTTTCCCTTTTGAACTGATGTGTGATGCTTCTGACTATGCAATAGGTGCTGTTCTTGGTCAACGAAAGGAAAAGCTTTTACACGTGATTCATTATGCAAGTAGAACATTGAATGATGCACAACTCAATTACTCAACCACTGAGAAGGAATTGCTTGCCATAATCTTTGCTTTGGAGAAGTTTAGATCTTATCTTGTTGGATCTAAAGTCATAGTGTATTCTGACCATGCTGCTCTGAAGTACCTAATGACAAAGAAGGATGCCAAACCCAGACTCATTCGATGGATTTTGTTGCTACAAGAGTTTGACTTAGAGATTCGAGACAAGAAAGGCTCCGAAAATGTGGTAGCAGATCACTTGTCAAGGCTCACACCGAGCCACAAAGAGGAAGTGTTGCCCCTGAATGAGTCATTTCCGGATGAACAACTATTTTCTGTACAGCATGGAGTCCCCTGGTATGCAGACATTGTGAATTATTTGGTTAGTGGAATTATTCCAGCTGATTCTAACTCTCAGCAAAAGAAGAAGTTCCTGTCCATGGTCAAATTTTATTTTTGGGATGAACCATACTTGTATAAGCATTGCCCTGATCAAATTATCCGAAGATGTTTACCGGAGAATGAGCAACAGAGCATTCTGAATTTTTCTCATAGTTATGCATGTGGTGGACATTTTGGTCCCAAACGGACAGCTGATAAAATTTTGCAAAGTGGTTTCTTTTGGCCAACTTTGTTTAAGGATGCCTACAAGTATTGTGCAGCTTGTGATCGATGTCAAAGAGTTGGTAATATTTCCAAAAAGAATGAGATGCCACTTCAAAGTATTCTTGTGGTTGAACTCTTTGATGTCTGGGGTATTGACTTTATGGGCCCTTTTCCGTCATCCTGTAGCAACAAATATATATTAGTGGCTGTAGATTATGTGTCAAAATGGGTTGAAGCTATGGCGTGTCCCACTGCTGATGCTGCTGTTGTTATGCGTTTTCTAAAAGGATTCATCTTCTCACGGTTTGGCATTCCAAGAGTGATCATCAGTGATGGAGGGAAGCACTTCATCAACAGAGCATTTGACAAGCTTATGGCTAAATATCATATCCATCATAGAGTCTCTACACCTTATCATCCTCAGACCAGTGGCCAAGTTGAGGTTTCTAATAGAGAAATCAAGAGAATCTTAGAGAAAACAGTCAGTGCTTCAAGGAAGGATTGGTCTCTGCAGCTAAACGATGCATTGTGGGCTTATCGGACAGCTTACAAAACACCTATAGGCATGTCACCATTTCGATTGGTGTATGGGAAAGCATGCCACTTGCCTATGGAGTTGGAACATAAAGCATATTGGGCTATCAAGAAGCTCAATTTTGACATACAGGCTGCTGGTGTGAAACGGAAGCTACAACTTAATGAACTCGAGGAGCTAAGACATGAGGCTTATGAGAATGCAAGGATATATAAAGAAAAGACCAAAAAGTTGCATGATCAAGCTATTTCCAGGAAGACATTCGTGACGGGAGAGAAAGTGTTACTTTATAACTCCAAACTTCGACTCTTTCCAGGCAAATTGCGTTCAAGATGGACAGGCCCCTTCCTCGTCACTCAAGTTTCTCCTCATGGTGCTGTAGAGATTCAGAATATGTCAACTGGGACCCAATTCAAAGTGAATGGTCATCGCCTCAAGCATTATCTAGAATCTCACTTTGATCCTCAAGAGGTGGTGTCATTCTTTGACACCATTCCATCACCATGTTCCTGAGCACCATTCTTAAGTCCAGCTAATGACTTAAAACAAGCGCTTCTTGGGAGGCAACCCAAGTTTTCTTACTTTTCCTTGTTAATTTGTTGTTTTTGCTTCTTTTGCTGTCTTTTTGGTTTCCTTAGCAATTTGATTATTTTGTTTGTGTGTAGGAACAAGTCGAACACATCCCAGCATGTTTAAGGAGTCTTTTTCAATGTGTTGGCACTCCTCATTTGGACCGCAAAGCAAGGGAAGGCAACAAGTTGCAGTTCGAGACTCCACAACCTGTAGTTATAAGTATTTTCCAGGTTTCAATGCCCAGATTTTGATCCAATGCTCCCAAGGCTGCAAACTAGTTTTTGTGGGTGTCCATACACCTAGGCTAACTTCAGGGAGTAGGATTCACGGCTTGAAAGCCAAGCCATAAGGCCTTTGTGCACAAGGATACCAAACAGCTCACATATGCCTTTTTGTTGGGGTTGCAATTGCCAAGAGTTGAAATCATGCAAGAGGAAAGGTTATTTTGGTTGATGTTTTTGTTGGAGAAGTTGAGAAGTTTTCCTATGCACAATATCATTTTCTTAGTTCTTCCGCACCAAGGAGTGGCCCCCGCAAGTGACATATGGTCTCAACAAGATGTTCTGGATGCTGGTTTGGTTTGGAGAACTTTATTGTTCAATTTTGCCTTTTGGCACAATTATGGTCATTTTTGGATTCTCCTCATAATTTTCACTATGGAGTGTTTCACATGAATTCAAGGTTTCAGACATGTTGCAAATGGTTATGGTGATGATTTGGACTAAGTTTGGGGGTCCCGTATGGCCTACATTGTGTTTTAGGTGGATTGGAAGTTCAAAAATGAGCCAAAATACCAAAACTGATACTGCTGCATTTTCTTGCTGTTCATCGGATTTTTCGTCACTAAAACCCCTTTTGCGAGGGGTGTTCATCGGATTTTTTGTCGACAAAAGGTTCCTGACAACCTTTAGTGACGGTTTTCTGCAGAAAAACCGTCGCTAAAGGTCATTTTTCCAGATTTTTGCTGCTGTTGCTGTCCTCAAAAGCTGCTGCTTCACACTAGTTTGGGGGTGGTTTGCCTCTCACACTAGAGCCTCATGCCTCGCCATAAACCGGGGAAGTCCTCTTCTTTTACTTGTTTCTTTTATTGATTGATTTACTTTCTTTTTCTTTTCTTTTTTTTTTTTCTTTTTTTCTTTTCTATATGCTTCCATCCTTAACTATGCATTGCATGTTTTCTTTTCTTAACATTGAGGACAATGTTTAGTTCTAGTTTGGGGGTGGGAAACTTTGTTTAGGTTGTTTTCTTTTAGTAAAATTTTTATTATAAACAAATAAAATAATTAAAAAAAATTAAATTTTAAAATATAAAATTAAAAAAAAAAAAAAAATTGTTATTCTTAGTCCGTTTTTGTTCTTGTTAATTGTGGACAATTCAAAGTATAGTGAAATTTCAATTTTGAATTTGATATTCATAGGTGAGTTTAAAGGTTTGAACATGCTTCCATTATGAAATCTAGGATGAAATTTGCAATCACAGTTATTTACTTTGGATTAGTGGATTAGTCATATGCTTCACCTTGAGACTTTCACATACACGCCAACATTCTTGCAGGGAGTTAAACAAGTTTTGAGTATGCTCATCCTTTTCTTTTATAAAATATAGGACTAGTTAGCATTTAACTAAAAGAAAAAGGTATAACATATTGAAAGTGACCAAAGAAGTCACAGCCCTATGCAAAAGCAAAGTACAATTCAATGAAGCTAGGGTGAAAATTGAAGTGAGCTAAAAGCTAAAAGTCGGAATTACATACAAGCCTTTTCAACTCGAGTGAGTAAGTCCTTCGGGATGTCTTCACATTTAGTGCCCTAAAGTCATTTGATTTGACCTAA